AGTGCTTTGAAAAAAGCCGATTCGGGAACAAATCGAATCGGCGGACATCGGCAGGCTGGTGTGCCTCCAATGGGAGGTGCCGGAACCCGCACCGGAATCCCGAGTCGGATCGACGCGGAATCGGAAACCATCGAAGTCGAAGCGAATCGCATCGGAAGAATCGAAACGATCGGCTACACGCACGAGTGACCCTGGGTAAGAGCGACCTTTGGTGCGCGACTTTTTGGGGGCCGCGGGGGGGCCAAACCTAGGCGCGCAAGCGGCTGCTGCTGCTGCTGCTTCGTTGTCAGCCATCTGGGGACCCATCTGTGCCCGCACCAAAGGTCACTCCGGCGAAAGGTCACTTTTACGTCTAGTCGAAACGAGCCCTGCGGGGTTCCCCCCGGGGCTGGGCCGGGCCAGCGCCTTCCCTCTGGGACCGAAACCGACGGACCTGGACCCGCAAAAATGACAGCCGCGACGCCCTCTCGCGAACCGAAGACGACCAATTCCTTTATCGACGTGTCAGGGTAGGAGGTCTGTCCACCCCCGAGAAACGAGCCCTGCGGGGGTCCCCCCCGGGGCTGGGCCGAGCCAGCGCGAGCGCGCGCGGCGCGGCCGCCGCGGGGCCGCCCTCCCCCCTCGTGGGCGGCCGAGACAGCAGGGGTGGGCGAGACTGCGGCACCCTCGGCGACGAGCGGGTGGGGGGGGAGGAGGAGGAGGAGGAGGAGGAGGAGGAGGAGGGAGGAGGAGGAGGAGGAGGAGGAGGAGGAGGAGGGAGGAGGGGAGGAGGAGGAGGGAGGAGGAGGAGGAGGAGGAGGAGGAGGAGGAGGAGGAGGAGGAGGAGGAGGGAGGAGGAGGGAGGAGGAGGAGGAGGAGGAGGGCGGAAGGACAAGGCCTTCTCGGAGGGCGGCGGGGCCTCTCAAAGCGCCCCCCTGCATCTTTGAGGGAAGCTCAGACAACCACTGAGAAGGGCGCGGGGCTTCCGAGCCTGCTGAGAAAGCCCGCCCCTTCTCACTTCCCCCCCTGGCCCGCCGCCGACTCCCGGAGGGGTGAGAAGGAGACTCCGGCACCCCGGCATGCCCTCGACGAGGCGCAGCCATCGGCAACCACCCCAGGCCTCGAAGCCGAACACGTTTCACCAAATATCGCAAACTTCCCCCAAGGTTGCCCGAACTCGGCCACCGCTGCGCTTCTGTAGAAGAAGAACAAACGCTATGAACAGAAACTTTCGGCGCTCCGCGCGGATTTCTTGGATCCGCGCCGGACCCCCCTCCCGGGCGCGCGGAGCGCGCCAGGGGGCGGCGCCGCCAGGGGGACCCAGCGCGGGCCCGAGAAATCCGCGCGGAGCGCCCAAAGTCTAATGTTTATCGCGTTTGGTCCTTTTTTCGCCTCTGGCCGCCCAGATCCTCGGGGCCGGCGAAAGGGGGGGGCGGCGCCGCGGATGACAAGGACTCGCGCCGCAGACGGCGGCGGCGGGCGGCGCGGGCCGCCCGTGGGGCAGCCGGCCGGCGGCGCGCGCGGCCGCGGGCCCGGGGCTCCAGGCGTGCAGGCGGCGGGCGTACGCACGACACGGCGGCCTCGCGGCCGAGGCGGCGAGGGCGGCGGCGGCCCCGGCGCGCCCTTCTCCGCCCGGCGACGGGTGCCCACGCCGGCTCCTCCTCCTCCTCCTCCTCCTCCTCCTCTCCTCCTCTCCTCTTTCTCCTTCTCCTCCCCTTATCCTCCTCCTCCTTCTTCTCCCCTTCTCCTCCTCTCCTCCTCCTCCTCCTCCTACTTCTCCTTCTCCTCTCCTTCTCTCCTCCTCCTCCTCCCTCCTCCTCCTCCTCTCCCCTCCCTCCTCCTCCTCCCCTCCTCCTCCTCCTCCTCCTCCCTCCTCCTCCTCCTCCTCCTCCTCCTCCTCTTCCTCCTCCTCCTCCTCCTCCTTCTCCTCCTCCTCCTCATCCGCCTACTCATTCTCCTCCTCCTCCTCCTCCGCCTCCTCCGCCTCCTCCTCCTCCTCCGCCTCGGATAGTAAGGATGCACGATCAGGATGCAAGGGCCTTGGAGGGCCATGTCGAAGCTCTTCGAGCGGGGCGCAGCCAGCGAAAGCGGCCAAGGATGGGCCGAAGGGGCAAGGATGCAAGATTACCCTTGGGAAGGTTGCCCATCCTTACTATGCGGGTTGACTGTACTGCCTATATTATGATTCCTCCTCCGCCTCCTGCCCCTCCTCGTCTTTGTGTAGTCGGAGGAAGAGCAGGAACGAGGAGAGGTACGGCAAATGAATCGCGTGCGGGCGATAATAAATCATACCCCCTAACCCCCTCTATTGTTTAATCCCCGTTCAATAAGATTAAAATGTGGCGAGTGGCGCGGATGCCGAACTTGATAATCCACGGGGGAAGCTGCGAATCTAAGTTGCTATAAATCCATGTTGACTAGCAACAGCATCAAAAACGCTGAGCACGGCTCCAAAGGGTGTCGCGCCTGCATGGGCGAGTGGTTCGAAGTCCGGCGCAAGAGAGGTGTCTTGGCCAGATCG